CTTATTAAATTTTGAAAAAACGCGATAGCAATGTGAGGATACATTCAAATTTATTACATAGATAATACAGTGTAGCATGCAAAGAAAAATAAATTACACAGTAACTTTTTGATATCCTTTAACTAAAATCAAAAATTTCTTTTTTAAATTGCTGTTTTATATTTTTCTAGAGAAACTAAGCAAAACATTATTTTGTATCATACAAGACCGAAATGCATTAACAATCCTAGATATTATGAAGATGTGAATACTCATTGTTAACATGCCAGCTAAAGTAATTGGACCCCATCCACTTGTATACCTTATTAAGGGTGCGTGTTTGTACGTGTCTGCTTGGAAAAACAATGTCATACTTGATTAAAGTTGTGACACTTTCTCTATTTTTATCTGATATCGAGTTGAAAGAGCCAATTTACAGTTATATGGGTAATGGTATGGTAAAGGCCTCAACAGGCGATAGGGTTTTACAGTACAACACCAATTAAAACTAAGATGTACAAGCAAATCTTAAAATGTGATGGCCACTGTTTCTTGAATTCATACAACTTAATACTAGATTTACAGAATAGGACATGTTCTATCTCTTAATACTTGCTGTAATGACCTCCCACGATGACAGGTTACATATTTCCCAATTATCCCCTGATAATGTGTTTAATGAATATAATTCCAGAACAATTAGGGCTAAAAGGTAAACATAGTAGTAAGAATTTCTACGGTCGTCTTATTACAAACTCTTACCCTTGTTTTAACCAATTTACATACATTTCAAACATTCGTTATTATATTTTTATCTTTGAAATTAAAACGTCTAACCCGTATTATATGATGTGTAGGAACACAGGTGCTCAACACCTTGTTATATGACATGTAGGAAAACAGTTGTTCTACCCCGTGTATTATGATATATGGGAAAACAGATGTTCTACCCCGTGTAATATGATATATGGGAAAACATGTGTTTTACCCCGTGTAATATGATATATGGTAAAGTAGGTGTTCTACCCCGTGTAATATGATATATGGGAAACAGGTGTTCGTCCCCAATTTTTTTTTAGAAAGCATGTGTTCTACCAGTGTAATACGATATATGGGAAAACTGGTGTTCTATCCCGTGTAATATGATATATGGGAACGCTGATGTTTTATCCCGTGTTATATGATATATGGGAAAGCAGGTGTTCTGTCCCGTGTAATATGATATATGGTAAAGCAGGTGTTCTATCCTGTGTTATATGATATATGGGAAAACTGATGTTCTACCCCGTGTAATATGATATATGGTAAAGCAGGTGTTCTATCCCGTGTTATATGATATATGGGAAAGCAGGTGTTCTGCCCCGTGTAATATGATATATGGTAAAGCAGGTGTTCTATCCCGTGTTATATGATATATGGGAAAGCAGGTGTTCTATCCGTGTTATATGATTTATGGAGAAACAGATGTTATACTACTCAGTGTGCACATTAAACACTGAACTATCAATAAATAAATATCATAAATAGAGGATATTGAATAAGTGTATGTTATATACTGAATTTATTGAACGAGTTGAATAAAATTATATAATGCGAGCCTCTTACTGTATTTAACTCATCAGAATTTAATGTTCTTTTTATCACATACAAAACAATTGACGTTTTGAAGTGAAAAAGAACCAATTATCATTAACACGCCTATATTATAATGATTACATTCAGCGCGTCTTACCGCTTTGTTTATATGATGAAAATGACGTCAGGTTAAAATATATGCACGGCCGTGCAATACCATTTTTACGGAGTCGTAAAAACGACACGGGTAAGTAATAAACACTGGCCATAATTTACTGAGTGTACCAGAAATGTTTGGTTAAATGCACGTGATTCTGGGATCGAGAAAGTTATTGGTAGTCTCGTCATTTTAAACAAAACTTATATGTAGACTGTCATTTGAAGAAGCTATTCAGTAGAGAATTAATGAAAATGCTAAAAGAAGTGTTAAATGGTTAGTGTGGGTGGGGGGGGGCGGTTGAGTTCATAGCCCTCAACTATCCAAGAAATTTAACAAGAAAGTTGTTTTTTCCGAAACCCCTTTAGTTTATGGTATTATTTCCGATGTGAATACGTTTCAGAAAGATGTTTTATATTATTATACTGATTTCATAATGGCCAATGAGATTCCCTGATTTCCGTTTGTAAATTTAAAGTGATCAATATATATGTAGTATAAAGATACTAATATTCAGTTCTTTCCAGTAAATTTAACAGGAGGTCAAACCCTTCTCAGTCGTACTTCGTCCGAAAAAGTAATAGTTATAGTAGTGACGAGGCTGTTATGTGCAAAAATCATGGTCCGATTTTAGACATGAAATATGCTGAATAGGTGTATATACATGTTTGTGGGTATTAAACAGTATGAATTGGCACAAAATGAATTAGCTTAGTAGGAACGAAGGCCTACGATGCATGTCAGGAAGGTTTTTTTAAACCAGGCTTATTATGTTCTTGAATGTCTAAATTTGAAAAAAATCTATGTTCCCAGAAAATCAAGGGTTCCCACGTTGTCCAAATTCAAGATGGCCGCCAAGATGGCCGCCAAAAATTAAAGAAAATACCATTTTTGCTTAAAATACAAATACAACACTCTTTTTTCACCGTTTGAATTCATTTTTTTATCAAAATGATCGGAACCGCGTAGAATTTCGGATATATAAGCAAAGTTTCACTATAAAAAGCGTAACTTTTTGAAAAATGCCTTAAAATATGCCAAAAAGGGGGTAAAAACGTGTTTTTTTGCAATCTGGCTGCTTCCAATTCGGCTCAGAAACTTATTTTACCTCTTATACTATATTTTTTCACATTTATTTACAGATATATGTTGACCAAGTACAAAGAAAAACATAAAGTTCAGATATGAAAGGAAATATGAATTTAAGGGACTCTCAATATTTTATAAGTCGGTAATTACCTGAAAATACCCGAAAATTAACCTGAATAATACATGATGTATATATAATAATTTATTTCTATATATATAAGAGTTTTATTATAACTACAAAACATGTATGTTGTCATTGTATTTCTCTTTTAGTATTGTCTCGATATAAAAGTAAGTCAAAAGCCATTTTTATAGATGGAAGGTAGATTCACAAATTACGCAGTTACTCCCCTTTGATATAATTAAGCCATGAAATCATCTGAAAGTTTCCAATGTCATTGAAGAACACACGAAGTTTACCGACGAATTTGCACAGATTTTTAGAGTAGATTGTACCAGAAGGTATGAAACATTAAAAGCCCAGTATTTAATCTTTAATTCTCAAAGAATTTCTTATAATTTATTAATATAAAATGTCAGATTTTAATGTAGAAAGAAATGCACCAGAACTTCACATAAACAAAAGCTTTTGAGCGGTTGAAATGCTGCAAATTTGTAAAAATATTTGAGTATTAATGTTTATAGCTATGATGTATTATAAATAATCATTTTTGTAAAAATATGGACATTCTCTAAGAGGATCCCTGTTTAATTTTCTTAAAAAACTTGAGTAGTAGTCGGATGCATACAATATCCGGATAATTTGTTTTTTGCCCTCTTTAACAATCTGAAGGGTTTGAAGACACATATCATGTCAAGGTTTACATGTTTTTTTTTTTTTTCAGGCAATGATTGAGGATAGCTATTCATACTGATAATTAATCTGACAAGTGGCTGTAGAGTCCCAATGCACCACCATGTTGACATGGTACGTGCCATAAATGCATTATAATTTATTCTCATCTGTTTAGAAGGTATGTTGTGTACCTTGTTATTTTTTATTAAATTAGATTACCCCTAAACATTGATAATTATTATTAACAAGTATAAAATAATTGCATTTACAACATAGAAAGTTATTTGAATATAACATATATAATCATTTATATTTATCAATGCATGTACATGTAGGTAATGATAAAACTATTTATGTGGGACATTTCATATTCTTTATATATTTTAATGTAACAGTATTTAAATTGAATTTATACAAATATTTACTGTATAAAATATATTTGACATACTTGAAAACCATTCTGTCAGAATTACTTTATTTCAGACACTTCATTTGGCTTAGTCAGAATGGGACCTTAAATGAAGATGCATTATTGTACCGTATATGAAAACAACACAAGAATGATCCAGAAGGTCTTGTGTTTTTCAAATGTGTAATGTCAATAACTTTTTCTTTAACTGTACAACTATAAATATTGTAGGTTTCTTTTCCTGAGGTGTTAGTATTAGACTTATATAAAAGAATAAAAGATAATTTACATATTATTGCTATTTTATACCAAAATAAAACCCTAAATTCCTATTTTTTTTTTTGCTTTTAGAAGTAAAACTACTCTGCACATACTCCACTACTGAGCCCTGCCTTACAGGCCTTGTTCCCAAGCTAATGCCAGCTGAGCTGTGGATACACCAGTAAGTTTGAACATAAAATGTGTAATTCAACCATTGGAAGTGTGGGTTGGTTGATGTTGTCTCGCTCTCAGACAGTTTTAATAATTTATTAGAAATGTGAAAAATGTGCATTGAAATAAAATTCTTTATGCATTAAATTTGTAGAAATAATTGTTTTACCACGAAACAGGTGCAATTTAAGTCCACAATGCTAATTACTATACTTAACAGTGTCACAAAAACTAATTTAACTTTGTATTCAATGTATTCAATGATTAAAATACGTTTATTTTGGATTTTAATTTTGAATTTCCTAAGTAAAAAAATAATTTTTGTTTTTTAGATATGTGGAATGCCTTCATCATCAATGACGTGTAGTGTTAAATATTAAACAAATGAGAAAATGTCCAATAGTAAAAAACGGAAGTACGACGAGCAGCTGAATATACCACAAGACTTTAGGTGCATTATTCACAACAGTGGACTTAGCAATCATGGTGACTGTGTAACACTAAATTCTACAAAATTAAAAGTCTCTGCTGAACAAAAACTAGATCAGCTGCACTCAATTCGCAACAAGCGATTAGCTGAACCATGTGACTCACCACATCGCATGCATGACATATGCAAGAGCATTCCTGCCTCATTATGTGGAATAGACCTGAACATCACTGGTTACCACCGTGGGTGCTACCAGGCCTTTACCAAAAACCTAGATAGGTTAAGTAAAGCAGAATGTACAAAACATTCTCAAAAACACCATTCACCAAGAATTTTTGCTAACTGTAGTAATCAGTTCCACCAGAATGCATCTTCTGTAAAAAGTTGGAAGTGAAACCAAAGAAACATGCAAATACAGAGCGGTGTGTTCAATTCACAAACACAACACGGCAACAAATTGAGTCGCAGGCTTTTGAGGTGGGCGATTTTGCCTTATATCGATTAGTACAAGGTGAAGACCTGGTGGCCAGAGAGGCAATGTTTCATACTTCATGTCGGAAGGATTTTGAATTGAAAGTGTTTAACCTTTCTAAGCGCCAAAGTATGGGGGGTTCAGTTAAAAAATTCCCACACGTCAGAAAACCTTGCCCAACAGTCGGTACGTGATATGATTTCACAAAAAGTGGTTGTACAAAAGGAAGTAATTCCTCTAGCCTCGGTTAGGGACTTGTACATAACCGAAATGCATAACAATGGCTTCCCCAATATAAATTACAACAATAGAACCTTGAAAGTGTGGTTGCAGTCGGATCCTATTGGACAAAAAATTGCTTTCACTAAACAGAAAGGTGCTGGTTGCATTATGCATAGTGTGGTATTTAGTGCCGACATGACTGTGCCAGAAGCAATTGCCAGTGGTTTCAAGTTGGGATCAAGTTCAGTTAAAGAGGAAGTAGCTACTTATCTCAGGAAAAGTGTGAAACAGGCATATACGGGTGTCAAAACCGCTGCCATGGCCACCCACTGCCGATGACATTGACGCTTTTCCTCCGGAGGAATTGGTCCCAGATGCACTTCAAACATTTCTGACACAACTCGTATGTGGAGATTCTGCGGGGACTGAAAAGACAAGACGAATCGTCCTATCAATAGCTCAGGTATTTTTTCCAGCATACCAATAAAGGACAGTGTCAATAAATATGAATTAAATTAAATTTATTTTTAACAATTTCATTTTATTTTGACTTCATAATTCACAGTGAATCATATGATTATAGTTTAGAGCTTGAGACATCCCTAGCTAAAGCACTGAATGATTCTTCATCCAAACTCACACCACTTATTGTGACGGGCCCTGGAAATGAAGTCTTCCATGTTAAATGGGACAATCTGAATAAGATAACCACAAATATCCATGGTTCCAATGTGGTAAATAGTACTGCAGGCATTATGATCCAAGAATTGAAGCCTGGATATTGTGCTACAAGTTCTGAGCGCACACTCTCGGGGTCTACCAGCGCACAAAGGCTCGGTCTCTAAAGGTTGATGAACAAGAATGTCTACCACCCACTGCATTGACCAAACGGTGCGGACCAACATTTCCAAGGGAAGCTGTGTTCACAACACCACATGAGAACCATGACATGTACCTAAAAGCCCTTCTGGAATACAGAATTTGGTTTTTATCCAGGGTTGTTGGAAGCAGTGCAGATGAGCAGTCAGTTCCAGGATTTGGTGGATTCATTTCGAGTACTGGATTGCAGCTTTCACGGAAGTCTACCATTGACTACTTTACACCCATTGATCAGCCATTTACAGACTACGCTGTCATTGAAGCGCTTCTTGAACAGTCGGAGCAGGCTACCAAAGAGGTTGGACAGAAGTATGTTCTTTCAACGTTCGACCTAGGAGGATGCATGAAGGCACTCCCTTTAATATGGAAGTATCCAGAACGGTACAAATACCATGTGATCACGCCAGGAGCCTTCCACACGCCATGAACTACATTGGCATGGTCACCAAGAACAAGTGTGCCGGGTCAGGGTATGGAGAGATACTGATCGAGGCTGGATTAGTAACAAGTGGTTGCATACAAAATGTTTTTGAGCGGGAAGGCATACGCAAAGGCTCTGTTCTGCCTGAAGACCGTTACAGAGGCAATGGAGAGGTTACTGTTCGAACGCTTTGCTGAAAACATGGAAAGTGAATTGAACCCAACTCTCTTAATGAAACTGGTTACAATTTCAAGCCGTGACACACACTGAACAGTTTGCTTGACGACCAGTCTGTAACAGATTTCATTGATCAGTACATCAGCTTTGAAGATTCCGTGCGACATGGGGAACTAGGAAAAACTGCAATGTTCTGGTTGAGTGTTGTTGACCATGCCAGGCTTGTCCTCATGCTACTGTATGCTGTGAAAACAAACAACTTGGATCTTTTCCACCAGTGTTATGGTCAGATGGCAGAGCTGTTCTTTTGCATATGATGGACCAAACTACTCAAGGTAAGTCTTGTAATTTCAGTTTGAAGTTTACTCTGGTTAAATAAAAATACCTCTGTTAGCTATGTTAGCAATATTTGAAATACTGTTTGGAAAATATATTTAAAACAGAAAACAACAAAGTTTATAGTCATTACATGTGGATATGACCTACGACTACTTAAGTGTATAATTTAAAATATAGTGATCAACAACAAATTTCAATACAAATGATCCTTGATAAATATTAATAAATTTTAGATGAAAGAAATTATAATTATTAAATATGAAATTCGTTTATCATTGCAGGTATCTGACATGGTTTGAGGTTTTTCTCACCAACATAGATCTTACTCATCCTGGGGCAAAGGAACTACTACAGAAAGGGGCATTGCAGTGACGCGATCACTAATCCCAGGCTCGTGTAGTGCAGTCGACAAAACCATGGAGGAAACGTTCATGAAAATCGCTAAATCAGCAGGTATGAACACAGGCCAAACATATCTGAAAATATATTTTGTCAGTTGGAGGTGTTTGTTATTGGAGTTGTAGTAAATAAGGTGTATGGTTTATATGTTTTAATTGTCGAGTTACGCTTCACCCGGAGCTAGGTGGAGAGAATTCGCAGTTTACTGTCACTTCCTTAAACCAGAACAATAAAACCGTTTTGGCGACAGTTTCTATAATCTTCTGTTAGGAGGGTGGGTTTCATTGTTTGAGGGTTTTGCTACTTTACTTGTTTTAAATTTGCTACATTACTTGTTTATGATTACTGTAAATGGAAAATTAAATTTGTCCAATTGCAGGTGGATTTACTGGTCTCTTCTCAATGTTTGGGGCGTACCAGCGGTGGTGTAGGACAACCTCTACGCGAGTACGATTTTATGAGAAGATGTTGGACATGTGCGGTATGGTGGAAGACGCAGATGCACCAAAGGCTGGACGCCATCGAGAGTTAGAACGGGCCGAAATAAGGAAGTCTGAAGAGGCAGTTGTCAGTACCATGACAGCTATCTGCAATTTCTCGAACCCGTTTAAGGCTACAAACAAAGAGCACTTGTACAGGTACTTTTCCTTATAAGTGGCTGTATTTTTTATGTTTTTCAAAATATTACTTACAATGATTAACCTAATAATACATATATTTAATAACAATATATTTTATTAAAACAGTTTGGCTTCTGGAGCTCCAGTTCCCCCTGATGCTGAGCAAGATGTTCTTCGGGCAGAGGGTGGTGGGAAAGGAAGCCAAGCAAAGATTCATAGCCGAAAGACTTACACACGGAGCATCGCCTATCAAGTTCTTTGACCCGATACCGAAGTCAAAATTAAAGTCAATGGAAGCTTCGAACAAGACAGTGAAACTTACTGCTCCCCAGGGAAAAGTAATAACTACGTCTTTCAAAATTTCTTTTGTGTCTCGTATTAAATTATTAAATTTTAAAATAAGTGTCGAATTACGCTGAACCATGAGCTAGGCGGAGAAGGATTGACAGCTGTCAGCCTCTTAAACCAGAACAATCAAAGCGTTCTGGTGACATTTTCATATATCTGTTGGGTGTCATTGTTTAGATTGTTTTGCTACATTATTTGTTGCTACATAAATTTGACTTGTTTTACTTGTTTTTTTAGATTTAATTATTTGTAATATATCCATTACAGGTGATTCAGTATCAAGAACAGAGCAACATAGCATTTATGCTTTTGGTAAAAGCTCAATCGTTGAACGAACAGTTGGACCTTGAAGAACTGATGCGGTTTCCTTTGACTCCCGTACCTCATAGCCTTGGTACACCTGATGGGTTCTTTTGCAAGAGCAACAAGGCGGCTTTAATGAATGCCATATTGCAGGATGTGCCACAAGCGACAACTCCTTCAGAATCCACCATTTACATCCAAGATGGTAATGCTCTCTTTCATGAGCTTACAAACCTTGCACCCAACGTTTGGCGGAATATGTCTGCAGATTCTGGACATCATGGTTGCAAGGAAGAACTTTATTTTTTCGACGGACAGCTACTTCCCGAACTCTATAAAGGCACAGGAGAGAGTGCGCAGAGGCTGCAGTCGAAAATTCATCGTTGATGGACCTGCAACCCGTAGACCAGCGGACTTTTAAAGAATTCCTATCCAACGATGACAATAAGACACAATTATGCAATCTTATTCTGCGTGTTTGGGGCAGTGAGTCAGCAGCATCCAGACTAGATCGATGTGGGAACAGCAGTGGTGGTCGTTGGTGGAAGGGCTTACCAGTTAAAAAAGACAAATGGTGATGTAAGTTACAATAATGTTAAGCTTTATACCACAGTCTACATAAATTGTAATGTTACCTACTAATATTTTAGTTATTGTATACAAAAAATATTTTATCCAGGCAAAAATCTAGTGGTCGTTTTGTTTTCGTTTGCTTCAGGTGAGAACGGAGGAGATCTTCAGTTTAGTGTCCAACCAAGAAGAGACAGATACCAGAGTAGTTTTGTACATGCACTACGCATCAACGATTGGCTACCAGTCAGCTATTGTAAATGGGAAAAAGCGTAATTAAGCTAGAATACAGTGTTGAGTGTATATTGCCGTTTTTTGTCATACTTCGGACGCTTTCAAAGATCTATCGATGTTGTTTTATGTCATATTATCAGTATGCACTTGACATGTTAATAAATCCAAGAAATGTTGTTATTTGATTTTAAGCTTTACTAGTTCATGCTATTCTGACAAATGACTAAAAATGATAGATCAAACTATTTATTTCCTCTAAAGGAAATAGGTAATTCAGAAGTAAATCTTTATTCACTATTTGCAAGAACGTTGAATAGCGTACAAAAATTCCGTATTTTAGTAAGATACAAACTTCATGCTACAAAGTTTTCGTATATTACGGATCACTGTATATTATTTATATACGAGCTCGCATAATATACGGTCCCGTACACCTCCGTATTTTAATTTCCCGTATTGGTCTCAACCCGGTACGGAATTAGACCGGACCCGTTGTAGTCTAGAAAGTAGTCTTTATAAATTTCAAAGTAGTCCAATTTTAGTAATCTCTAGCTAGATTGGTCATAATTAAAGTGTATTTATTGCATCTGTGTAGTTTTTTGTGTTATATTGTGACTTAAAAGTTGTTTTTTGTGTATCCTGTAGGACCTCATTTGTTGGCGGAAGGATTAAAGATGTACTACCCACCACTACTCAGGAGTTTTAAGTGGTGAATTTGAACAGTGTTAAAACAGAATGAAGGTTTCTGAAAAAAGTAGATGGCTAACACATTATATTTCGGGCATCATTTGACTTGTATAGTGTTGATGTATAAAGTTGAAGACTGTATATTATTCATCAGGAACAGTTGAATCCAGAATTAAGCCTTAAATGTGACTAATTTACTATAGAACAAAGAGTACGTACACTACCCTATATCGATACATTTTTCTTAGTAAAAGTAGAATCATCGAAAGAAAAAGGAAGTTTAAAATGTTAAGATGTTCATACAATTATTGTCCATCCTGTGATGGCATGTGGTTTATAATATATAAGTATTGTATAAAAAGGAAGTAAATTGATGGTGGAAGTTTTCATAGTTTTTCCTTATCACATCAGTAAGCCACTTTGGATTCATAAGAGAACAGTTCAGCTACCGCATGTGATAATAACATATTCAGTTTATATAACCGAAAATGAAATTTGGTAAAAGTAAAGCGGATCTTCCTGGATCAAGTGATTCTGCTTTGTACGAAAACACAAATATTTTGACAATTAATACTTTTGCCGGAACACAGATAACGAATATTGAAGAGGAAGATTATGAAACAATAGATGTAACAATAAAACCAAAGGAAGTTCATAATTCACATGAAAGAAAAAAGAAAAACGCGTCTAATGATGCAATAGAACCAATAGAAGTTCCGGATTCACATGAAAGGAAAAAGAAATGCGCGTCTAATGATACTCTAAAGCGACTGAAATGTAGGTTTAATGTAATGACAGTGCTGATTACTTTTGTTAACATCACTCTGGTATCGTTGGTTATAGTCCTCTTTGTGACAAAGAGTTCAGGTAAGTGTTTTTGTAGCTTGCATGAATCATTTTTACGCCGTTTAATTTAATAAATATCAAATATGTGTAAATTGATCGATATGGTATTATAAAAAATCATTCAATAAAACTTCTCTTCTGATAATTTATATCACTGTATTAATTTAAGATCTTACTATACATCTAAATATTTTAATTATCATAAAAATTCAGTCGATAGTCATTGGGCACAATGGTCAAGCTGGACCTCGTGTGACGTAACATGTGGTAAAGGAAAGTATCTACGGCTACGAACGTGTACAAATCCATTGGCTACGACAAATGACTGTATTGGAGAAAGCTTGCAGACTGGTGAATGCACAATTGGCAACTGTACAGGTTTATTAACTTTATCAGTCATTTTGGATACTTTTGAAATTCACTTTGCTGAGAATATTTTGATAGTAACATGAATTTACATAGCATTAATGTTCAGAAATAATTTATAATCCGCAACGGAATGAGGCAAATGGAGTTTTAGCAGTTGACTCGAGAGTGTGGTGGGGTTATTTAGTAACAAATTCTATACACTTTATATACAGAAATAACAGATACACCAAAACAAAACCACCATGCCACGCGGCAATCTCCCGGATATTTTACTTCGGTTAGGGCTTTTAGCTTTTTTACGTGTAATAAATACCCTCCGAACTTGAAAAACGGAATCAGGCAAATGGTAACAAATACGATGTTTGAGATTTTATGAACTTAAAAAGAAATAATCGCCGGTCAAAAAGCAACCTACAATTACGTTGGCCTCTTCTATCATTTTGTTTGCGTAAGAGCTTTGAGCCTTACATTGTTGTGGAGAAGATAGATCTTGTAAATCAATACAACCGTCTTGATCATTTTAAAGTACGTACACTAAGCGTTCATTTAACATTGATTAATTGTGCATGACGTCACTTCCTACAAGCCCTTTTTGTCACTCCCAAATTAATTAAATTATAATAAAGTTGAAACTCTTTACTAGAAGTGTTTTATCTCCATGATTTTGCTTTGGAAATTTTCGGTAGTTATACAGATAAAAGTAAATCGACAAAGATACGCGGAACTCCATCAGAAATATTAATTGGATTAGGGTTTTGGTCATCATATTTTGCAAAGCAGACTCTCTGAACTAATACAAAAACGAATCTGCGACGTAATGGGCAAATGATGTTTAATCGGTTGTCTCGAGAAAGTGATGTTTTCTTACGACGATTTATACATTTTATGTATTTATGTATGGAAAGAAAAAAATATCCGGTCCAAAAAATGACCATTTTATGCAAGTTTGATATATCATTCTCATTGCATAAGAGCTTTGGTCCCTACATTGCTGTGAAGAAGATCCTTGAAAATCAATACAATATACTTGTACATTGCATTATTTTTTTAAGTACATTGCATATTTTTTTTAAGTACGTAGCGTTCATTACATTGTATATAATGGG